TGTTCTCTGATTCCACTAGTATTTATGGAGCACCTGCTTGCTCTCTGAGGGGTGGGGGTGGGGGTTGACGAAAAGAAGAAAGAGCATAAGAGTATTATACATCGGTGAGTTACAGGGAGGAATTACAGAGAGTGTAGGTGGGGGGAGCTGCTCTGTCTGAGTGCAGCCATTGGTGACGTCTGAAGTGAGGATCGATGCTGTGGGCTGTGGTCGTTCCCTCTCCCACCCTCCTGCCTGGAGCTCTCCAGGAGTCTGGGCACCAGGCCACTCCCCTCTCCTACGTCCTGAGATCACTGCCATTTGAAGGCCCTGCCTGAACCCAAAGGCCCTTAGAGCCAGGTCCTCAGGAAAAGCAGCCAGACCCCCCTATAGGCGCCCAGGATGGGCTCCCAAAGGCCACAGGGTGAGCCACAGTGAGAGGGGGCAGCCTCGGGCGTGCGCCTCCCCCTGATGGAGGCTGTGGGTCCTCAGGGAGCCTGGACAGGCACCGGAGGAAACAGGGAAAGGAGCTGCCGGAGGCCAGCAGCCTGGGGTCAGGACCGTCTGCCTCTGGGAACCCTGCTGGGCTGCTCTTCACTGACAGAGAAACCAGCCTCAGCGAGGACATCCTGGCACTACTGGGTCGACAGGGGTGTCAGGCAGGGCGACTGGGGGGTGTGGACGGAAGGCGTGATGTGCCCGGCAGTATGAGCGAGCAATTGCCTGGACCCTCGGTGGGGACACTGCCATGCCTGCAGCGGTGGGGGTGGTCCGGGGCAGACACCAAGCCCCAGGCTGTTAAGTTGGAAGTGACTCTAGTGCAGTGGTTCTCCACCTTCCTAATGCCGCGACCCTTTAATACAGTTCCTCATGTTGTGGGGACCCCCAACCATAACATTATTTTCGTTGCTACTTCATAACTGTAATTCTGCTACTGTTATGAATCGTCATGTAAATATCTGATATGCAGGATGTATTTTCATTGTTACAAATTGAACATAATGAAAGCATAGTGATTAATCACAAAAACATTTTCTGATGGTCTTAGGCGACCCCTGTGAAAGGGTCGTTCGACCCCCAAAGGGGTCGCGACCCACAGGTTGAGAACCGCTGCTCTAGTGAGAGTGTAGACCTGTATTCTTACAGGTGAGCCACTGGGGCCAGAGCAAGCCAGGCACTAGCCCAGGGTCACACAGAATTACTGCAGGGCAGGCCCAGGCCTGGGTCTCCTGATGCCCGTCTGAAACCGCCTGTGTGCCCTGAGCCCCTGGCCCTGTCCGGCGGCCGAGCGCAGAGACAGCGGGCTTCTGCTGCGCACCTGGAGGCCCTCCCGCCTCCTCAGGGCCCCGAGCTCCCGCCGGTCTCACATCCTCTGGATGGGAGAAGCCTGGGGTAGGCTGTTGCCCATGGCCAGGTGCTGCCCGCTCCGGCAAACGCGGTGACCTGCGTGGGAGGGGTTGGCCTCTGCTGGAAGAAGCGGCTGACTTCCAGGGAAATGGAGTCACCAATGGGCTTGCCCTGGCGGAGGACGTTCTGAGCCAGACCCAGTTCTCAGCATCAGGGAGGCTCTCCTCGCCCCTCGCCCGGCCCCCTGCCAAGAAGCCTCCACTCACCTGAGCCCCACGTTCTGTCCAGCTCCGCCTGCCCCGCCCACCGCGCCAGTGCCCTGCGCGCTCACGGGTGTTCCTCTGTCTGCGTGTGTCTCTCCCTGCGGGTCAGGGCCCGGGCCTCCTGGTACCCTGCGGTGGCTCACCCCCTTCCTCTGACACTGCTTGCTCCCTCCCTCCTCCCAGGCTGTGGCAGAACCCTCTGCAGGTGCTGTCATCCGTCAGTCCTCCCACGCCCGTCTGCACAGAGGGATAATTCAGACTTTTCCTCCTAAACAGGGTTTTGGGAAAAGTCCTTACTTCGAATGCAATGCAAGCCTGTCTGTCGGGATTGTATTTGACCACGCCTAACAAAACCCATCTAGCCTTGGTTCCAGCTGGTGTGAGCATGGATTTCTCCTTGCAGAGTGAGAAGAGGGGGCCTCCAGAGAGGGGAGGGCCTCAGTGATGCCCTCGGAGACGAGCCCTCCCCCCACGGCTCCTCCCCCCGCTGCAGTCTTCGCTGCCTGTCCACAGTCTCCACCTCCGGGTGGTTGTGCCAATGTCGCAGGCAGGTGTGAGGGCCAGAGCTGACGGCTGTATGAGAAGGTGGACCCGTAAGGTGTTCACAGGAGCCACATGGGAGGTGTTCCCCTCCTCCTGATGTCCCATTGCCCTGGGGGTGACCAGGCTGGCTTGCCGAGCACCCCGCCCCCCACTCTGTGGAACACTGATGGCGCCTCCTCCTGGAACACGGAAGCACAGTGAGCGCTGCTCCCGCTAGACCAGGCTGCAGATCTCCGGAGAAATGTTTGGAAGCTGAGATGACGCACCCGCTCCTTTAATCAAAGGATGGTCCTTGGGAAGTGCCCGCTCCACCCAGCAGACAACAACCCCAGCAGCACAGAGGGCGGCCTCGGCTCCACCGGCCCTCAGCTGGCGCAGCTGAGAGGTCACAGCTGTGGGGGCCGCAGGGAGGGACACTGTCCTCCCACTGCTCCCCAACTTCTGCTCTGGGCCAGCTCCCCCCACGGTAGAGACCCCTGGACTGGTGCTGATGCCCGCGGGGGACTTAGCTCGGACCCTTCAGTCCTGAGCAGCCTTTGGTGACCTCTGTCAGCCCAGTCCAAGGGTCCCGAAGTCCATTGCGGGCAGCGATGCTCTGTCACACGGAGAGGAGAGGAGGCGTCCTGGCGTGCGTCTCGGCCTTGCCAGCCAGCTGTGTGAGCAGGCCAGGGCGTCAGCCAGCGGGAGCCTCCGTCCCCATCCGACTGGTGCGGTGTCGGGAGCTCGGGACAGCAGCGTCCTGTGCTGTGGCCTCTGCTTTCACGTGGCAGCTGAGACACGCCGCCCACAGGTGAGCGCCCTTCCCATCACGGGACGTGGAGGCCAAGGGAAAGGTCGGCGTATTCTCCATCCGCCCCTCCTGGCGTCATCCGCACCTTGCACCGAGGTGCAGTCTCTTCTTACTGAATAAAAACAAAACAAAACAAAAAACAAGAAGGAAAGAAAAAAACAGTGAGGCATGACCTTAAATTCAGGGTAGGTTTGAGAAGACAGGCTTCTAGCAGACGGGTTTACTGCTGTTAACGAGGCAGGACTGGAGCAGTCGCCTTCCTCTGTGGAGCCTGCACTGAGAGACCCCTCAGCCCACCAGCCGCCTGCGTGGCACCCAGGGCCTCTGTCCCGGGCCTGTGTCCCCCGCCTCTCACCTGCCAGGGGGCACCCACAACTAGGAGCCCGCTCCTCCACGAGTTTCGGGAAGCCACACATGTCCAGACACAACTTCAGCAAACATCTCACCTTCCTCTCCGTCCTGCTCTCCTGCTTCCTTCCTCCTGTGGATCCCCCGTCCCCCTGGCCCAGGGCTGCAGGGAGAGGCCTATCTTCATCCGCAGGCTCTGCCTCCCCGTGAGCAGAGCCGGCTGGAGAACCCCAAGTTAGCTCCTTGAGGAGCTCTGCTCCCACTCATTTTCTTGGATACCTTTTCCCGTTAGGAGCAGAAGCACAGAGCAGCTGCAGCACCAGTTGAAATGGCTGCGGGATGCCTCCCTGAAGACCCTCCCCCACTGCCCTTGGGGGAGGGGGAGAGGGAGAGGAGGGGAAAGGAGCGGGAGGAGGGGGGGCAGGGCGGGGGAGAGGCAGACCACTTCTCCTTCGTCCTGTCTTCCCTTCCCACTCCCACTCAGGGCCACTGCCTGGACTTGGGCAGGACACGGGGACTCAGGTCCTGCCTTGTTGGTGCAGCCGTTCTTGCCCGGGCATCAGGTGTCTCGGTCAGCTCTGGCTGCTGTAACAAAGCACCATCGACTTAGACAACAGCTGTGTATTTCTCACCGTCCGGAGGCTGACAAGTCAGGATCAGGTGCCGCAGAGTCGGTGTCTGGGGAGGGCCACTTCCTGGTTTGCAGGGGCTGCCTCCTTGCTCTGTGCTTGTGGAGACCTCTCTCTCCTCCCGTTAAAGGCGCTAATCCCAGCAGGCGGGTCCCACCCTCATGACCTCATCTAACCCGAATTACCTCCCAGGGGCCCCACCTCCCCATACCATTGTATTTGGGGTTTAGGGCTTGAACGTAAGACTTTGGGGAGATACAGACAGTCAGTCCCCAGCAGTGGGATGTCCCCCCAATGTTGCCCGGCCACTGCATCGCTGGAGTAGGGTCCTTAGCGCACAGGAGTGGGCCCCCGGACACAGTGTGACAGGATGGGCACCGGGAGCATGGTCCTGGGCGTGCTCTTCGTGTGCTGCCAGTGGCCTGAGAACCGGGGCCTCACGTCACTGCCCCACCTGGCCATTCCCTCTGTGAGGCCCTTGGGGGAGGGTTCCCGCACCTCCCAGTCTTTGCACGTTTATTAAACAATCACTGTGCCTCTTCCCACTGCTGTGGTTTATGGGCTTTGGGGTCCAGAAGCCTGAGCCCCAGCCCAGCTGCAAATCAGGGCGAGTGAGCAGAGCAGGTGGGAGCAGCAGCCTGCAGGCCGCACCTCCTGCTGACTCCCCCGTCAGGCTCCAAACCCTGTCCCTCTCGCCCAGAGGGTCAGCAGGGGAATGTGGGGGCCAGGTGCTGGCGGGTGGAGGAATGAGAATGCACAAACCCATTGGGAGAAGGGGCGGCTCCCAGGTCTGACTCCTCCGCCATGGTCAGACTTTGCATTCCTGGAAACATGCTTGATTGTGTGCCTTCTTCTCGGGCCTTTGGAAGGGCCCTCACCCTCACTTTCCTGCTGCCAGAACATCCTTTCGAGTCCGTGTATCCTAATCTTCACTCCCTTTTCCAGGTAGGCAGGTGGCCAGTGTTCAGAGCTTCCGGAACGTGTGGGCTTGGCTGGGCCCACTTCCCCCCTTCCTGCTCTTCCCTGGGGAGGGCCCCCGGGGAAGGGTGTGCATGGGGCCCCTGCCGGCCCTCTGACCCTCCTGTTGTGTGTCTTCCACAGCCTGCGATTGCCACCCCGTGGGCGCTGCTGGCAAAACCTGCAACCAAACCACCGGCCAGTGTCCCTGCAAGGACGGCGTGACCGGCATCACCTGCAACCGCTGCGCCAAAGGCTACCAGCAGAGCCGCTCCCCCATCGCCCCCTGCATAAGTACGCTGGCGCCTGCTCCTGGGGCTCCGGCTTGGGTGTGGGTGGAGGGCCCTTTCCAGAGGCGGGTCCCGCCACCCAGGGAGTGTAGCTCATGGGTGCGATCTCTGCCTGGGTGGAACCCCGGGTGGGACCCCAAGCCGCGGGGTGCTTGCTGGAGCACAGCAGAGCCGGCCTGTCTGGGGCTGTCTGTCCTGACCAAGAATGAGTCGGGGAAGCGAGCCCACCCCTACGCCTGGGTCCTGTTTCCATGTGCCACCTTGACCTTGGACCTGAGTGGGTGGGTGGGCAGAGCAGGTGGGGGCAGCAGCCCGGAGGTCACACCTCCCTGGTGACTCCCTCAGACCTGGCAAACCCCAGAGCCCCATTCGGCTCCAAACCTTGTCCCTCCCGGCCAGAGGGCCTGTACCTGGGCCGCCATTGCTGCTGTGGGAATTCACACCCCCTGCTGCTGACCGACACCACAGGACTTTTGAGGGAAGCTGGGAAGGCTCCCATGGCCGTTATGAAGGATGGGAGCAGCCCCGAGGGTGCTGGAGGCCCCATCGGGCCAACCATGGCCCCTTAGTTGCGGGAGCTTGGAGAGGGAGTGAGGAGGTGGCAGGGGGCCTTGGCTCAGCCAGTCTTCATGTTTTACAACCGGTGGCATCGCACAGGTGTCGTGAGCAGAGGCTGAGCCCTGGCGGAAGCCGGGTCTGGGGCGTGCAGGCCGGGCCTGCCTCAGAAAGGAGGGCAGAGGGAGGAGCCAAGCCCAGCCCGCAGGGCGGAGCCTGATGGAGTCTGCTACTCCAGAGCGGGGTTGGCACACCCGCCGGGAGGTTCCTGCCACCTGGTTTTATGCGGCTGCAAGGGGTGTGTGTGTGTGTGTGTGTGTGTGTGTGTGTGTGTTTGCCCTTTTTAAATGACCGAAACAAAAAACAAAGGAACACTGCTGCTTCCCGTGTGCAGATGATGGGAACGTTCAGTGTCCACAGGGAAAGTTTTATGGAGACACAGCCGGGCCCGCTGTTCACAGGCGCCTGTGGCGGCTTTTGAACCGTAACCACAGAATCGAGCAGCCACAGTGTAGACCGGTGACCTGCGGAGCCGGACGTCTTTTCTAACTGTTTCTACCCGGGCCTCCACGGGAGAGGCCGGCGACCTGTCAGTGTCCTGTAGCACTGGGAGGGCACCGGCCCTTCTGGCCTGTCACAAGGCACCTGGGGACTTGGAGTGGTCCCCATGGGCCTTGCAGAGAACCCTATGTACATGTGTGCACACACACGCACACTCACACGCACACACACACGCATGCACGCACACTCACGCACACACACATGCGCGCGCACACACACGCACGCACACACGCACAGGCAGGAGCTTTAGCCGCTGTGCCTCACCTGCCCAAGCTGGGGTGGCCTTCACCTTCCAGGACACATCGGGCGGTGTCGGTTCCGGCGGCGCCAACCAGCTTCTAAGGCAGGATGTGTGGCAGGGTCCAGTGCCAGCCAGTGACCCAAAGCGCAGCCTCAGGAAATTGAGCTCAGTGCCCACCGGGGCAGAGGAAGGTGAAAGGGTTCCCACAACACGCCTCCCTGCCGGTCTCCCAGCGTTCAGCAGCCCTCCACCCACCCAGGAAGCAGCAGTGACACTGGGAGCGCTGGGCGGAAACCATGCCGCCACCTGGAGAATGCACACGGGGAACGGTCTCCCTTTTAAAGGGAGTCAGGAGCTGTCGGGTTGCTCAGAGGTGGCGGGAACCAACATTCCCAGTGCCCAGGGCAGACCCGGCAATGAAGCGGATGTTTCAGACTCTGAGACAGGGACCTGGAAAATGGGGGCTCGCGCTTCCTGATGCTCAGTACCTTCCCCTGTCCTGCCCGAGGCAGGTGATGCCAGGAGAGCTGGCCCACCAGCAGCCTAAAGACCTGGTCTCCCTCCCGGGGTTCCCACGAGCTCTGCAGAGAGCACCCGCTGCAGGCACCCGACAATGCCCTGAGGACTGCTGTCACGACTCGGGGAGCCACAGGCCCCCTGCACACCAGCGCCAGCCCTCAGGCCAGTGTGGCTCCGTGGCCACCAGCCTCCACTCCGTTTGGGGACGTGCAGGGTTGGGCTGGACTGTGCGGACGCCCGCTCTGGGGTGTTTCTGCTGGGACCAGGTAGCTCCTAGGGACCGAGGGGGGCCTGGTGTAAGCTGCTGTGATGGCACTTGTTGCTGCTGATAAAATCCATCGAGCGCAAGATTTGCCTCCACATTGACGGCTGGGTCCTCTGCCCATTCCTTCCGGAAGGTGTTCCTGCCGTAGTGCTCGGGTTTGCCCCCAGCCTGAGTGTCCCCAGGTGCCCAGCTCCACACGGCTCCAGTCCTAGCTGGTCTAGATCTGGGGGTCCAAGGGAGGTCTTATCCCAACAGTCAGAGGGCAGCCAGAGTCCTCAGGGCTCTCAGAGGCCTCTGTGGTCACTCACCAGGGAGCCCCTGCCCCTCAGGGACTGTGGTCCCTGGTTTGGCCTCGTTTAGAAGGAAGAAGCCTCAGCTGTGATACCGGTGGTACCTGGCCCGTTCTAGGGACCAGCTGCACCCCTCCCTTTGCAGAGCATGGGGTGGGGCAGGAACTGGTGGGAACTGGCTGCCACCCTAGGTAGAAGTGGAGTGACCACAATAAGGCGCACTCTTCCACAGGCCCCTTCTCCTTCCGTGGTGTTGGTCTCTACTGCCCACGGAGACAATGCCCTAGCTGGTGAGATGTGCCCATGGGAACCTGGGAAGGGTGCAGACCCCTTTCTGCACATGTAGGACACCTCCCAGCCGCCTTACGTGCCACCCCTGCCATGAGCGCCATCCCCTCCCTTCCCCCGTGAGTTGAGGTCAGAGGTGAGCAGGGCCTAGTCAGCCACATGGAGATGAGCAGGGGGCCTGGGGAAGCCCCTGTCGGCCACCTCAAGGGCTCAGCAGAAACACACACACACACACACACACCACCCCCTACCTGGCCCTGGCTCAAGGGCGAGGGCAGCCCGGCTTCCCTTCTCCTCACTCCCGTCCCTCCTCAGTGTCGAGGAGTGTGGGCATCCCTGCGGGTGGAGGGACAGTTTCCACAGGAGAACAGGCAGGGAGCCTGGGCATCCCGTCCCCTGCAGCTGCCTCCTCCTCCCCGACCATCCTTTCCTGGAGCTGGGGTGATAGTGATGGGGGGGTGGTGAGGGAGACACTGGAAGGCTGGGAGGGTCTGTGTTGTGCTCATCCTTCTCTAAGGTCAGAAATAACACCTTCTCACCTCACTTTCCCTTCCTCCTGTCCCGAATCTTGCAGAGATCCCCGTGGCACCACCCACCACTGCAGCCAGCAGCGTGGAGGAGCCGGAAGGTAGGCTGGCCCCCTCTGCTCATCTTTTTGGGAGGGGTGGGTAGGGATGGGGGTTAGAGGGGCCAGAATCCTCCCAACCACCATCAGGGGGCTCCTTGGCATGAGTGGTTCCCGGGCTGGACTGAGGAGGGTGGAGCCCCAGGGCATTTATCTGGGAGCGCCCCCCCACACACACACACACACAAGAATAAAAGAGAGGGGTTTATCCCTGCCTGTGGCTAGCCTCTCTCCACGCCCAGGACGCTCACAGCGGCTCCTCTTGTTCATCCACCAAGTTAGGAAGCGGCCTGAGCCCAGCACCATCCGAGGGGCCGCGCAACCCCTTCCGGGGGCTGCAGAAGGTGCGGGAAGGAGGTGGCAATGCCTTCCTGAGCAGCAGAACAGAACAGGGGGCCGCACACAGACATCGGGGTGGGGGACAGGGAGCTGGACAGGGAGAGAACCACACGCCACTGTCCCTCTCCTCTCGCTGAACGTGAGCATTTCCTCGGTTGCAGAGGTGGCCACGAACCACGGCAGGGCCAGCAGCCCGGTGACCTGGGTGCCAGCAGAAGTCACAGGTGTTTCCCCATCCCGTTCGGGTGGGTGCAGGTATCCCAGAATGCCGTTTAGGTCACTGTCGCTTCAAAATTACGGGAGCCGCCAGGCCTGCTGCTGCCTCCTGACCCATAACCATGAATAACGAAGCGGTACAGTGAGGGGCTGCACCGTCACCCTCGGGTTTCGAACGTGCTTGGATAAGTGTATTTTCGTGTGTTCGTTTCCGTTGTAATGTCGACAAGAGAACGTCCAGCCTAAGAAAAAGTCTTAGAGGAGTGGACTGGAGCCAAACTGACCACATTTGCCGGGAAGCAAAACCTCAGCGGAGTGAGAAAATGCTCCGGAGAATGGCAGCTTTACAGCTTCCTTTATACATTGCAGTCAAAGGAGGAGGTGTAAGGGGTTACATGAAGCCCATTGGTGGTACATTAAAGGGCCGGGAGAAAGCAGAGTGGGGAAAGTCTGGGACTGGATAAAAAGTGAAATGGAGAGACCCTGCTTTTCATTGGCGGGTGCGGGATAGTTAGTAGTTAGCACTTACAGCAGCACGTGGAGACGGTATCGGGGGACAAGATAGCAATGTGGTGTCTGGTAGGTGGTGTGCCCCGCGGGGTCTGGAAAAGGAGGTTACTCTGACATTTCCGAGGTATGTTAGTTATCGTAGATGCAGAAAGACAGGCAGGCTCAGCCAAGGTAAAGAGCGACCTTTGTCAGGGGAGCTACAGGCCTGGGACGCAGCCACCTGCCACGTCCGCTTTGAGTTGGGAATTGTACGTTCAGACCTTCCTGTGCAGCGACTTTCGGTCTCTGAGTCTGCAAGGCCCCCCATGCAGGGCCCTGAGTGTGTCAGGTTTAGTATGTGGCCCCTTTCCCATCCGCAGTCGTCCCGTGTGTTTTATTTTTGTATTTGGAGATAATACTGTGAATGGTTGTCGCCAGCCCTCGGCACAGGGAGGTTACATGGGGCTCAGAGCCGGCTGGCTGGGGCGCCACACGGAGAGCAGCCAGGCTTGTACCCAGCGTCCTGGGGTCACATGGGCCTTTCGTGTACTGGCACTTGGAGTAGGCGTGGGAAAGGGGGTCCCATGTGGACATCAGTGTCAGCTCTGGGGACCCCCTTCCTCCCCTCCAGGGAGGACTGTAGGGAGGTGTGGGGGAGGCTTGCACACCCACGTGGCTGCCTGAATGTCTTAGAGTAAAGACTAGACTGGAGTGTTGCCGTACGCTGGGAACTGAGAGAGAACGTTTCAAACTCGCCTACGTGCACAGTCAACGAACAGCCCCCAGCGAGGAGCGGACAGAGGGCGTTTCAGGGAGTGCCAGGGTCACACCGGGAGAGCCAGGGACGTTGGTCTTGGGAAATTGGGTAGAGCCGTCAGTCACCTTTGGTCGAGCTGCAAGGGACACTCATGGGAAAAACCGCAGGAGGAAGCAGCTCGGGGCCCGGGAGGCCGAGGCAGGAGCCGGCGTGAGGCTGAGGAAGGCCTTTCTGACCCGATTCAAAGGCTCATCCCATCCAGCCCTGGGCAGTGCAGCTGGGCGAGCAGACGCCACCACTCGCTAGAGTCCTGACTCCTGCTCCCGTGATGTGGCCTCAGCCGCTCAGAGCTCACCTGGCCCCGCGCGTGGGGCCGTGCACCCAGCTAGGCCGCGGCAGACCGGCATCTCGCTCTTGCTCCCATTTTCCCAGTCCCTGCAGCGGTTTTGGCGTTTGCCCTTGCAAATCAGAAATGGGCAAATGGGGAAAAAATAGAGGGAAAAAGGAAAACGACCCCGGAGATTTCTGTGCCGGCCAGGAAGCCGGAGTAAAGCAAGCGACCATCTTCGCTGGACCAGACAAGATTCCCAAGCCAGCGCTTACAGACACGTGCAGCTCCCCCTTTAAAGTCCTCTCCAGCAGTTCTTGGTTAGTTAGTTGCCTCTCTGTCTCCTTTTGTTTTTGTTACTGTTTCTTTCTTTTCTTCCTCCTGAACCTTTAAAAAACATGTTGGAAATGGAAGCCAACAGTAAACACCCTTTACAAAGCGCTTTGCTCACCGAGGGGCTGAGCAAGCAGGTGTGATCCTCATGCTTTGACCAGACCCCTGGCACCTTCTCTGGTGGTCTTGGATGCCCAGGATCTGGTGCTTGCACCCGAGGACCAGGGCCGTGCCCGGGCCTCGGGCGCTGGACGCTGGGCCTGCCACGCACGGCTGCCTTGTCTCGGTGGGCGGGACGGTGTGGGCAGGGGGCCAGGGGGCCCCTGGGGAGCGGGCCTGGAGCACAGCACTCCCAAGCCTGTCAGTTCTTGCAGTGTTTGAATAGGGAAGGCCCGTGTGCCAGGCTGCCGGAGAAAAGCTTATTTACTTTTGCCTGCGTAACGGAGGAGAATTAATACACCGAGAATTCGTCCAGGAAGCTGATGGACATAACCTCACGCTGAACCTGCCCCCCGGCAGGGCCAGCTCACGTAGGGAATGCTGTCCACTGCTGTCTGAGCGGCCGGAGCCCCGTCATGGGGCAGGAGGCAGGAACGCCATGTCCGTGGGAGGTCTGGGCCGGGGCCCAGGAGGGCAGTGGGCTGAGGGGCAGAGAGGAACCCCCATTCCAAACTCACCCATCCTCTGGGCTGAAAGAGGGCCCGCCCTCCCGGCCGCCATCAGCTCTGTGTAGGTGTTGATTGCGGGTCGTTTGGCTTCGTGGAGGCCGCTTGGCTCAGCGGGATGAGTCCAGTTGGGACCGGGGGCTCTGGGGTTGATTCTCCGCTGGCTGAGAGGCCTTGGACATGCAAAGACTTCTTTTTTCTTCCCCCTGTCCCCCACCCCCTGGGGTTGAGGTGGGGGGAGGCTTTCTTCTCAGGGTAGGAATGGCCTTCTTTCTCCTGGTGCGCTTTCTTCCTCTTCAGAAACGCTTGCTCTCTCTCCTCTGCCTCTGATGGTCAGTCCTGCAGCCCCTTGCTGAGGTCTCCGTGGGCAGAGGCGCTGGTGAATAGTTAGACCTGGCTGGGGGAGAGTCTGACGTCTGGCATTTGCCACTTTCCCTGGTGCAAACACTCCCAGGTGGCTGGTTGCAGACACCCCCTCTGATGTCATTGAACGCACAGGTGGGAAGAGATGCGTACGATGGGCTCTCGGAGCCCAGGTGAGCTGACCCCACCCAGCACTGCCTGTGGGCTCCCCCGGAATGGAGTGTAGGCGTAGGAACACGAAAGTACAGAGGGAGGAAGGGCCGCCTCTCAGCCGGGCGAGAGGCTGTGGTCTTTCACTGGCTTCCCTGGTGCCAAGGGGCACTGCTGTCTCCTGGGTGGAGGCTGGACTTGGGATGGAGGTGCAAGAGCAAGGAGCCGACTCCTGGGCCTCCCTCCCCACAGGGTCTCGGTCCTCTCTCGGCTTGGTCTCCTCACGGCACTTGCCTATTTGGTGTGGTGTCTCCTGTGACCTGCTTCCATGGCCCCAGCCTCAGGGTAGTCACCTGAGAGTTGTCACACCTGGCGGCCTCTTAGCGCCTCCATTTTTTTCATGAAAGAAACTTGGGTTTATAGAGACCTGCAACCTGGAGCAGCTTGGACTGTCCTGTTAGGCTCGTTTTCCAGGACAGGGAATAGGTGATGAGGAGGGAAAGGGAGCTGACAAGACTAGGGTGCAGCCTTCCCAAGGTGCCGGGTGGCCGGACGGAGAGGAGAGGACACCGGATGGGAGCCCCAGACCCCAGTTCTGCTCATCTTGTTTCCTTCTCTGGAAACAGGGTAGTTCATGGGACGGGATGATGCAGATAAAGCTGTGGACTCGGTGGTGGGCTTGTACATGCCCAGTGTCACCCAGTGGAACCGCCCGGGAAGCAGACACCACGGTGCGTGGAGGGCTCGCGCGGCGTTGAGGTGTCCGCGGGCTCCGTGGTGGGAAGGCAGGGTGGGCAGCAGGGGGTGCGGCCGAGGACAGGGGTGCAGGGCCCGCTAAGTGGAAACTGCTGGTGGCCTCGCCACGTCCTTCCCAGCGGCCGGTGTTGGACCCTGAACCCAGCAGAGAGTTGGAGCCTGGAAATCGATTACTGTGGCTTAACTAATTGTTCAACTGTTTATGACGAGAAACCTCAGAGGAGCAGAGAGAATGGTGGCGGGTACCCACGCCCATCACCTACACTTCACCATGGACATTTTGTCCCATTTGCTTCAGCAATTTCTTCTGCTGAAATATTTTAAGAGAAAAGCTGCCGTAGGACATTTGACCCCTAAATCGTTCGGAATGCCATCTCTGGGAATATTCTCCGCACCTTCTCAGTAGCGTCATTACATCCAACAAAGCGGTCCACACTTTACTACCATCTGACCCCAGTCCATCTTTCTTACCCCCCGAGTGTCTGTTGGAGCTGGTTTGCTCGGCGCTTTAATTACTGAAGCATCATGCAGGCACGTGCTTCTCAGAGCGTTATATTTAGACGTGCATCTGGGTCCCCAGGGTGTGATGCACGGGGAGTGGCGTGTC